GTGTTGTACTAACTACACAGACACAGGTATAGTAGAGGAGTACTCCCTACCTTCACCTTTTCCTAATGTAAAATGGTATTGGCCCCATCTTGTCTTTCTTCCTGTGGCTTTGCAAGTCAGGATTCAGAAATGTGCAGGAAGCAGGTCCTTGATGCAAAAGCAGAGGCTAACACAGCTTTCAAAATGCCCAATTCACTCTCTCCGATTAAGCAGTCTCACAAGTCAGAACTAGATGAGTATTCTGTGCCAGCAGTGCTCACCATGGCTACATTACTGAGTCCCTGTGGCTCTTAATACAGCTGCTGCCTCTCCACCACCCTCCCTCCTTCCTAGCAGAAATGGTCTGGATGTGGCCCAGACAGCACAGGCCTCAAAAGTTCCCAACATGCAGCCAGCACTGGAAGTCACTGATAAAGACCAACTTAATCCTACAGATCAAAAATATAGCCCAAGGGGGCTAGAGAGATGGCTCAGCAATTAAGAGCACTGACTCCTCTTCCAGAGGACCCGGGTTCAATTCCCACACCCACATGGCAGCTCACAACTGTCTGTAACTCCAGTTCCAGGGGATCTGATATCTTCACACCAATGCACATAAAATAAAGTTAAATAAATTATATAAAAGAAATATACAGGCCAAGGCTGTAGCGTTGGCTCAGTGGTCAAAAGCAAACTGCCTGCTCCTCTTTCGGAGGACCCCCGAGTTTGGTTTTCAGAGCCCATGTCAGGCAGCTCACAAGGAACCCCCTGTAACTCCGGTCCAGGGGATCCCACTCCTTCTTCAGGACTCTGAAGCCACTGCAAACACATGCACTTCATCTCATACACACATAATTAAGACTGGAGACTGTCACCCGAGAAAACTGTCAGGAGAAAAGTTTCTTACAAGTTAATAATTCATAAACATGATATGAGTTAAATGCACAGAGTTCAAAGCATAAAGGGCTCTGGGAAGTCAAGCCTATCCCCAAACCAGTCAATGTCTCAGAGGGCGATCTGAGTACAACTGCTTACTAAGTTCCCAGGGGATGACTGCACAACCCCAGCCTGGTAATATGCCCTGTGACATTTCTTGACCTCTGTGCCCCAGGCAAAGTTACTTGACTCCGAGCATAACTCACATTGGACACTGTGAAGTTAAATAGGATAATGGACATAATCTATCTCATGGATATGAAATCAGTGTAATACATTTTTGAGAGATGCTATTCACACATCAAAGCCACCCTCTTCGCAGTACAGAACTCAGTGCTATTAGTATAATCACAAACCTACAATAATCATCACCAAATTCAAAACATGTTTTTCATGATCTGATAAGGAAATTCTGTCTCCTTAGCAGGCACTCCTTCAGCCCCTGGGAACCACTAACCTAGATTCTTTCTCTGTGGATTTAATTGTTCTGGACACCCAGTGGCAATGACGTAAAAGCTCTGGGCATAGCGGTAGTATGGCAGATCAGCCCTGGTGTGGCTTGCACATACGTTTTTAGAGCTGAGTAATAGTCCACTGATGGACTTACCACTGTTTTCTGGAGCTGTTTCCACCTTTGGGCTATTATGAATAACACTGGTATGAACATTTATAATGATGTTATATGTGGCTGTATTTTCAGCTCTGTTAAGAGCGTACACCTAAGAGTGCAATAACTTGGGCATATGGTAATTTTAAGCACAACTTCTTCATTATTGCTATTTTTTAATAAGTTTGTATGTGTATATAATATGAACTTTGGTCATTCTCCTCCCCTCCCCATTATCCTTCCCCACCCTTCCCACTCACACTGAGCCACTGAGCCAATCTTCCCAACAGGTCTCTCTCCTATTTTCATGGTTGATTTGGGGTTTGTTTGTTTTGTGGCTTCTTTTGTGACTCATGGGGTTTAATTAGGGTTGCATGCATGAAAGGTTATTTACTGGCAACTTTAACAGTAGTTACATCACAGAAGAAAATGACTCTTCCTTCCCAGCAACCATCAACTGTCAAAACCTCCTAAGGTAGGTGGAGCTTCATGAAACCATTTCCAACCCATGACAGACCATCAATAGGCCCTTCTCCTATGCCTAACTTGAGACTTTCAGAAAACCTACTATGTGACTGGGAGGACAGTTTATTCATTGAAATGCCTGCACTTCAAACAGAAGGCCCTGAGTGTGTCCCTGCACCCAGGGTGGAGGCATGTGCTTGTAATCTCAGCGCCGAGGAGTTAGGGTCTCTGGCTCATAGTCTAAGTCAGTACAGCAGAGTCAGCAAGCCCCTGGACCCAGTGAGAGACTGTCTAAAAATAGGAGGTGGATGGCTCCTAAGGAACAATATCCAAGGCTGACCCCTGGTCTCATATTTGTATACCCCATCCCACATGCGTACACACACCTGTATATATACACAGCAAGAGAAGAGAGGGAGGGTGGGAAGCGGTGGCTGCTGAGGAAGATGAAGATTGCTGGCATTCACATCAGAAAGGCTGAAGGTTCTCATGGGGCAGAGGTGGCAGGTCACCCCGGAAGGATGTCATGGCTCACCTCAGTTACCCAGACCTCTGTAAGACCTGCACTGGCACTTCCCAGTTAGGAGGAGTTGGCTCATTTCCTGGAGCCTCTTGATGGGAAAGTAAGCTAATGCCAACATTTGGGGTTTTAGCTAAAAGCACATCAATGTATCAGGGCTGCACAGAAAGAAAAGGAAAGAAATAAAGGTACTTCAGGGCAAAGAGCCATGCAATGTGCTGCCTTGCTTCACACTTAGGAATACTGTCCTATTGTATACAAAGAGCAGCACTGGAATTATCTATGTACAAAGAAACTGTCCTATTCTGTTCTCCATTGCTGTGATGATGACGAACAACAGTACCAACTCAACTCTGGAGAGCAAAGGGTTCACTTCAGCTTACGTTGTAGCTGAGGGAAGTTGGGGCAGGAACTCACGGTAGTAACTGATGCAGACCATGCAGGAACACTGTTTACTGGTTTGTTCTCTATGGCTTGCTCAGAGCCTACTTTCTTATTGAACCCAGGAGTGACCCCACCCACAGTGAGCTGAGCCCTCCCACCTCCCACCTCAACCACCAATCACGACAATGAGGCACAGGCCTGCCAAGGACCAACTGAGGACATGGGAGTACCCTCTTCCCAGATGACCCTAGCTGTGTCATGCTGACAAAAAAGCAACTAGGACAGAAGCAAAAAATGTTCAGTACGCCTTGTGCACATACATGTTCAGGACGTCCCAGATACCAGAAAGTCCTTGCTATACATAGACTGTCACAGAAGTAGCATAAGCTATGCACTCCTTCCCATACACCTTACCTTTTCTGCATCACCTGCAACCTGCAATGGCTAACACAGTGTAACTACTAAGGGGATCCCTCTTATACTGTTGTTTGGAGAACAGTGACAAGTAAAAGAGTGTGTGTGTGTGTGTGTGTGTGTGTGTGTGTGTGTGTGTGTGTGTTTTCAGATAGGTGGGTTCCTTCCAACATTTCCAATCTGCACTTTGTTAAGTCCAAAGAAGCCATAACTATGGTGGGCAGCTGCAAAGCTATAAATGTGAATTATTAAGCCATCGTTTCTTTACTGTATGAAATGGAGGTCAGGGTTTTCAAAATGATTAAAGCCGAAAAGGCTTTACTGAATTTCTAGCTATTTCAAGAAATTTATAACAGGCAGTACTGGATAGTACGTTATTCTAAATTGATGTAGCTTATGGACCATATCTTAAAACTTTTTGTTTGTTTGTTTGTTTATTTTTTGAGATAGGGTTTCTCTTTGGCTTTGGAGCCTGTCCTGGAGCTAGCTCTGTAGACCAGGCTAGCCTCGAACTCACAGAGATCAGCCTGCCTCTGCCTCCCAAGTGCTGGGATTAGTTTTATACTGTATACCGTCTTAAGCAGTAGCTTGCTATGACAAATACTCAATAGAGAAGTAATGAATGAATGAACTATGAATGGATGAAAAAGACACAGCAGACAGGAAAAGAGAGAGAAAATCACCTTATTGTCAAGAAGAGGCTTTGCCAAGCACATGGGGTAGATAAGAGGTCAGGGTGCCAACAATATTTAAAAGTCAATGTCTCTCAATAGCTGGAATGAAGCACTTTGTATCCACCAAGCTAGCCATCTACTTGCCCTTTATCTCAAGAAGACAGGCTAGATAGACCGACTGTAAATATGGCTTTTCTCATTCCCTTCTGTGGAGTTTCACCTAATACTGCACACTTGTTAAGGTATTACACTCTAAACTTGAATTGCAGTCCCCAAACCTCAAAGCTAAGTCCTAACCTCTAATACAGCAAAATGTACACCTCTAATACAGCAAAATAGGTTACATGACCATAATGGTAGGCCCTAATTTAGTATCACTGCTGGCCTTATAAGAAGAGATATGAACAAATTCATGCACACAGGAAGAAACCAGGGAAAGACTAGAAGAAACAGTGTCAGACCAAAGAACTGACAGAAGCTAGGACCAGGGTACCCTAGCTCCTCAAGGTAGGACTTCTGACCTTTCTCTAAAACTGTGAGGCAATAAACTCCCACTGTTCTAAGCCATCTAGACTGTGAGTTTGTTCCCAAAGGCTGAGCAAGCTAATGCAGACTCCAAGAGCTGATGCCAGCCAACTACAGACTACATGTCAGACCCCACAGACACCGCCACCACATCACTCAGGGCCGGACACTCACCCTCAGGATGCTGCAACAGCTCAGGTCTCCCTGACCTCGCACTCTATTTCCACCTCCAACACACCACTCTAAGGTCAACAACCCTGCAAAGATCCCACCTCCAGGGCCTCACCACTTGCTACAGAAGAAAGCCCACCTCTCCTTGCCTAGCTTGCTGCATCACCTATTCAACACACATCAGACATCCCAGCTTTTACTTTTAGCTCTTCCTTCAACTGAAAACTTGAGAATGGGAATAAAAATTTAATAGAATCCTAATAGTTCCATATATATCCATATAATTTAAAACATGTCACAGGGTAAAAACAACATTGTTACTCACCATTCTTCATCACGACGTTAGACCAGACATTGGCATTCAATGCTTGTACAATTCGCTTTACGCCTGTAGATTCAGGAAAGTCATCTACCAGGGAAAGAAACACACAAATCTGTACACACTATCAGATAAAACTACACATTCATATATATGCCTATGCGTCCCCAAAGCCACACTTTTAAATAACTGGGTTTAATCACCTTGTTTATTTGGCTGTTGTTTCATAATGTACTGTATAGAGAAGTAAATGAATAAAGTAATACAGAGCTCAGAACTCCTGATAGGAAGTCACAACAGAAGAGAGCTGTGTGATCATGCTATCTCTATCACATCACCCATGGAATCCACTCAAGAGTGTCCAGAAAAAGCAAGCTCTCATTAAACAACCACAGTGTAGCATTAAAGACACTAATCTTGGGGCTGGAGAAATGGCTCAGTGGGTAGGAGTGCTTGCTGCTCTTACAGAGGTTTAATTCCCATAACCCATGGTAGGTGGCTCACAACTGCAGGTAACTCCAGCCCCAGGGGAGTTACCATGCCTCCATATGCACCTGCATGCACACACTTTAAAATAATAAATCTTAAAAAATAACAAACATTTTCATCTTAACTATCTATGTGGGATGAATTTCCAGGGGCTGGTAAGATGGCTTAGTGGGTAAAGGCACTGTGTCACAAGCCTGGTGGCCTGACTTTGATACCTGGGAGGAGGACCTCTCTGTGTGCTATAATGCAACTCTGTGTAATGTGATGCTATCTTCCACTGAGGATGATAGTCACCTGTCATCTATTATCTCTTAATCAGAGAAAGTCGTTAAGAATCAAAGCTTAGCTGGACTGGCGGCTATGTCAGGGAGCCTGCAATGCCAGCTACTTGAAGGCCGAGGCAGGCAGTTCTCAGGTGAGAGGCCAGCCTGGGCAACAGAAACTCAAGTTCAAATTGGCAACTCAGTGAAACTTTGTATCAAAAGAGTAAGTAAAAAGAAGGCTGGGGGGTGTATTCAAACACAGAACGTTTGTCTTATGTTTGAAACCAAAGCCTAGGCTTCTACTCCAGTGTAACAACTGACCAAGGATAAGCAGTAGCTGTTTTAGAGTTAGCACCACCCTGTCTCTAGAATTTGGCAGTTCTACTTAAAACAGTTAGGCATTACTCTTTGCCAACAACCAGTAACAGCAGTTTCTTAGCTACATCCAGGCATCACTGTGCCCAGTAAGCATGGGTCCTTCAGAAATGAGGAATGCAAGACTGAAGTCTTGAAGGTAGAAAATAATAGAAGAAATAATCCATGTGTCAGAGAGAATAGAGTTTGCAGAGCCCATGTTTAGTGGTCTAGCCTGGTTTGGGTTAAATAGGAAAAAGAGAGACTTAGATATCAGAAGATCTAAACTTGAAGCCAGGCTCTGTAGATTACCAACCATTTACTATCTGATCAAGGGCAATTCACTTACACTAGCCTCTCAGAGTGGCAGGGACAGCAGCACTCTAAGTACCTCTCCTGGAGGCATGATGGGGTAGATTGGGGACTGGGTGGTATACTCTCCCTTTATACTGGAAATTCCTGCAGGCAGGAACCATGCCTAACTGAGTTCATCATGCCCACTGCCTCAGAGTGCCTGAGTGACAATAGTCAGTCTTTCATGGCTAATGAATCACCCAAAGACTTGCATCTACCAACCTGGTGGCACTAACTGAGGATGAAACTGGGAATACCAATGAAGATACATTTATCCCACTGCCGTCTGGATGAAGACAAAAAGCCATGTTCATCTTAACTACGGATGATAGAGTTGTTGAAAGAACCATTCATACTTAAGACACTAAACCCAGGAACCAAAAATGCAGTCTGAAATGAAGAGCTAGCAGCAGTAATATGAAACTTGATAAAACAGTGGATGTGTGAAAAGCACCCACAAATGAGGGATGAAGAAAAGTGACTTTGGAGTAGTTTGTATTTAAGAATTCTAGAAAGTTTTTATTACCCTGCTCTAAGATGACATGTCTCTCAAAATCTGTCCTAAAATTATACCGAATTAGGGCTGGCAAGATGGCTTTGCAGGCATCAGGGCCGCTGCAAGCATGATGACCTCAATCCCCACCCTGGGTCTACTTGCTCCCAAAAAGTTAAGCTCCAATTTTCGTATATGTGCTGTGGGACACGTGAGCACCTGTACACACGTGTGCACACACGCACACACACACTAAATGGGGACTGTTTGCAGAACTCCCCGGTAGAAAGGAACAAATTCTAAGATGATGACAACCGTCATTACACATGTTCAAAAATACCAAGTTGGGCACAAGTTTTAGGGAACTTAAAAAATATGGAAGGAAATATTTCATTCCCCAACTTTCAGTATTCTTTATGATGTGTAAAAATGAAAACCTGCCTCCCTGCTTCATTCTCACTCTGTGCCATCCAGTGTTCCATCCACACTGGCTTCCATCCTTGCCTGGGTCTCCCGGGAGAGCCGGCATGCTCTAAAGACCCCGCCCACCAGGCCGCATGTCCAGCACCTTTCCACTTCTTCCCCATGACGAGTCTGACACATTAAGGTTGGGGTGTCAAGTGCTCTCTGAACCATACACAGAAACATCCCCATCTCTGGAACACCACGGCACCACATTCCTTCTTGGTCTGGGGACATTCCATTGGGGAAACAAAATTATTTCTGAATGTAGCTTACGGCTCACTTTTGGAACCAAGTTCTAAGATTCTTATGGGCCAAGAATTGGGTTGGGTTGGGCTGGCTGAGTTCATGGAGGTATACTTGGAAAGTGAGAAGATGAGAGATAGCTCAGTGACTAAGAGCATGGGCCACTCTTGCAGGGGGCCCAGGTTCAGTTCCCAGAACACCCACTTCAGGTGCCTCACAACTATCCAGAACTGCAGTTCCAGGGGATGCCCTCTTCTAACCTTGGAGGCATACTACACATAAACATAAATAAAAATTTAAAAATAACTTTAAATCTTTTCTCTCTCTCTCTCCTTTCTCTTTCTTTTTTAATGGAAAGGTGGTTCAGGAATTAAGAGCACTGGCTGCTCTTCCAGAGGACTGCAGTTTCATCCCTATTTGCTACACGGTGGCTCACAACCATCTCTTAACTCCAGTTCCAGGGGTTCTGATGCCCTCTTCTGGCCTCCTAAGGCACTAGGCATGCATGTGGTACACAGCCATACATGTAGCCTAACATTCAAACATATAAAATAAAAAAATAAATCTTGGAAGGAAGGAAGAAGAAAATAAATTGAAGGTCCAGACGGTTGCAGAAGCAGCAGAAGGCAGGCAATGCACAGCTGCCCTGGGGGTAGGTGGGAAGTGGAAGGCTCTGAGTCTATTTTTGGCTTGGGTATCAATAGGTCTGGCATGCCTCCTGAGGTTTCTGGGAATTCAGCCTTAGCTTACTATGAATTCAAAAGAAGGAACATAACCTCCACAAACACAGGTCTCACTATCCTATGGCTGGCAGTGGATTAAGGACAGGGAAATGGCAATAGTTTTCAACAGTGATCTCTTAAGCACACACACAGTTTCAGAAGCTTGAAAATGGGTGGGAAAAGCCAGCAAGCAAACTATGACAGTGCTTATAGACCCATATTAATGGGTTTTGCTCAAAGCTTTTTAAACAGCTGGAGAAACTAGCATTTCTGGGCTCTCTCTGTGATCACCCTACCCTAGGCTGGAACAGTTTCTTAGGCTTCAACCCAAACCCAGCTTTCTCCAGACACCAACACGCACCATCTTCCTCAGGTAGCTCCTCTGGGTTGAGCTCTACCAGCTCGAAGCCATGTTTGATGCACCACTCTTGAGCCTTTTGTCGGTTTATTCCTAAAACACATAAAAGAATCTAAGTAAAATCACTATAAGACATGAACAACTTTCAACACTCTCCCTAATGTCAATGTCATCCTAGAGGCATCTGGAATTAAGCTACATAAAGGTAAATGATCTGAGCCTCAAAGTATGCTGAAGACAACAGAAGTCTTGCAGGGTTTTCATGATGAGCTGAGGATGTAGGAGGCTCTTACCGTCTTCACACACTCTATCACAGACCAGGATCATCACCTCGGGTAACCATGCTTCTGCCAGGGGAAGCCATGAGGAGACACTGTCAAGACCCGATTTCTGCAGAGGAAGAAACAAACAAAAATGAAAAGACACACTGAGAAACTCAGAACATAGAGAAGAAAAAGAAGGTATGACAATGTCTGATTGAAGGCACCACTGGAAACAAGAGCTTACCTGTGTGCTGTCAAAGTAAACCACGAACGCCTGGACTGACTCCGCGATCTCAGCAGTGACCAAGAACTTGCTTGGCACCACGCACAGATTGACCTCTGCTGAATAGTATTTGTTATCGATGGTCCAGGGGTAAAACCTCACAGCATCGGTGGATGCCGCTTCCACAAAAGCATCTTCTGTTCCGAGGATATCTGAACAAACAGCACATATCACTTTGGAAGGCACAAAACCAAAACACACTGGTCAATTTTTTTAGTGAGGTAACTAGATTAACCTGGAGCCTCGGCTACTTTCCCTTTATACAATGACTCTAAAGAGCCCTGAATTAGATTTAGATTTGTCTTCTCTAATCATTTCAAAAACAATGGTGACATTATTTAACTCATTGGCTTTTTTTTTTTTTTTTTTTTTTTTTTTTTAGTTTTGGGGATTGTTGAACCCAGGACTTTCAGTACCTGTCAGGTGCTGTGTCCCTGGGTTATATTCTTTTGTCAGGATACAAAATTGGTTAGCTCTAGATTAAATAGTAGCAAGGGGAGGGGGGAGCCCCTTTGATAAATACCCAGAAAAAAACAAAGGGAAGAGAAAGATTGAGGGGATATTAATTTTATTATGTAAGTCCACAATGGGAAGTAGATGACTATAAGACTACTTTGCACTTACTGAAGGCTAAGAGGATGAGCGGATTAAGGCTAAGCCATTAATAAAATAGAGCTACATATATTCCTTGGGCTAAATGCTTAGACATTAATTCAGTTAATGAAACAAAATAATAGATACTGATAAATGGCCCCAATTCTATTTATTTCCATTCTTGTTCAGTCTTTGAAAACCACCCACCCAATCCTTATTTGATAGAGACACCTCTGGCAAATTTAAAAACGTATCAAAACAAATTAAATGTTTTCCATTATTAAAAAAAATAACCTTTCAAAAATTTATGTGCCATGTAGGTAGGAGGCTTTCACTGCAGAAGATGAATCAATGACAGGCAAATGCTCAGAGCTGTGGTCACGGAGCTGTTGGAACACTCTAGTCCCTGCATCACACAACATTTAGAAGTGGAAGAGGTGACTGGAATTGTTCTCAGCCAAGCTCCCATCTCCCACGCCATGCCTACCACCTGCACTTCATCCAGAGGTGGAGAATGAGTATGGTCTATGTGCACAAGTGTGTGCAGCTGTGCATGTCCGTGCACATGCAGAGCCCAGAGGACATCAGGCACCTTGCTCTATCACTCTCTGCCTTACTCGAGGCAGGGTCTCTCATCAAACCTTGAGCCATGCTGGTGTCCAGGAAGCCTGTGATTCTCCGGGGGTTATAAGTGCACCTGCAGCCATGCCCGATGCCATTCCTCACATGTGACCACACTCAACAGTGGGCACTGGGATTTGAACTCCTTGTACTTGGCTGGCAAGCACTTTACACCCTGACCCATCTCTCCAGCCCTTGTCTTGACATTCCTGCCCAAATCAGTCATTACTCTTAAGGGAATAGATCTGTACCCACATCTGAAACTGAACCTTTACCTTTTAAGAGACTGGCAACTCTGCTTCACTTCCACTTTCAGTTATAAACCTTTATTTAGTGTTAAATCCACAGCAACCAGCTACAATGTTCCTCACAGAGCACTATGACAGCTCCAGTGGGCATGCAGCAAAAGGACAGATGAGCTAGTAAAATCAAAGACTTTGTTCTCACATCAATGTCTCATAGAGAACACAAACAAGCAAACAAAACAATTCTAGATCAAAGTCTACCTTACAGTCTAAGTTAACACTTCAAGCTGAGAAGCCATGTTTCTCAGAGCTTCATATCACCAGCCAACATAATCCCATTATGCCAGCAGCATACATGGAGGAAGGCAAAGCAGGTTTTGACAGGGTGGGAGGAGGCAACGTGAAGTCTGTCCTCATTCTTGGCTAATTTAAAATAATGAACTGGCTGGTTTTTGAGGGAGAAAAAAAAAAAAAATACAAACGGCAGTGCTGTTAAGATGAAAAGGAGACTGGAGAGATGGCTCAGAGGTTAAGAGCACTGGCTGCTCTTCCAGAGGTCCTGAGTTCAATTCCCAGCAACCATGCAATGGCAGCTCACAACCATCTATAATCCCGTGTCCTCTTCTGGCCTACAGGGATACATGCAGACAGAACACTGTATATATAATAAATAAATAAACCTTAAAAAAGAAAACACACACAAAGGAGAAACCCAAGGGTCTAAGTCCCACCGCTTGCCACTATCTTCTACGTCCTATACTTAAAAACTGGATTCTATTTGGGGTTATGCTTTTTCCAAATCAGTGTTTTCAATGAAAAAATACAATCAATTAAATTGCAAGTACATGAAAACTGAAACTGTGACCATCTGGAAGGACTAAGGGGTTGCTCACACTAAGAAGCACCGGATGGTATACTTTAGGTGGGCATACCATATGCTGCAAGACTATTATCTTAATCAAGCATTTAAGGTAAGTCAATAAACAAAAACAAATGGTGGGGGGAGAGTATTTTTCTCTTTTTGCTAAACACAGGGATAGAACCAAAAAGCTGGGAAGATGAAATTTCCGATGTTTTAGCAGTTGCCTGGGGTTCTGTTTTATTCTTTGAACTGCCTCTAACAAGTGGATAGTCCAATCTACTTAGCAGCACTTATTTTGTTTTTAGCATATGGATATCTAGTCAGACTGTCCAGGAAAGCTGGGTATGGACTTTGTTTATCACATCTGTCCCATTTAAGAATGAGGGGAAGAGTAGTGAAAACGGCCTTATTCCAGCTTCCATCATCAGTATCAGTGTAGAAAAAGGAGAACACATAAGGGAACAGAGCCTAATCCTGAAGCCACATTAGCAGTGTCTTTTCCTGCTTCCTCAAGATGCTGATGCTTGCGACCTGGGCACAAATCTACAACACTCTGGAATATAACCACAAGACACCTTGGACTTAAAGACCCACTGTCCCCTTGGGAACAATAGAACAAGGGGACGATTCTGCAAAGCCATTCACAAACTGCTCAGGGCATTTTGAGTATTTGTGCCAAAGGTTCACAGTAGTTCTGAGAGTCTGTTTGTGTTTTTACAGCCCCTTCTGGTACTCTCCCTTCTTTGCCCTTCATTATACCGCATGTGGATGTCCTCAAATCCACTGTGTACAAATAAATTCTCAGAGCAGCTTCACCCTGCAGCTCTTATCCACACTGCTGGCTGCCACCTGGTGGAGCTGTAATACGTGACTTTTTAAGAGACAAATGAGGTGAGTGGTTGCCAGGTCTGTTATTACACATTTGAAATAGTTCATTTGTGGTGCCTTCACGGAAGATGTTAACACGTCAGTCCAGGTCCAGCAGCAAATTCAATTCCCACCCCCACTAAGTGACCCGTGCAAGTACAAAAAACAGTCCTTATTTGAGAACCCACTCTTCAGCAGGCAGGGAGTCTCCAGCTGCCGTCAGCCCGTTACTTTCTCACTTAGGTAACTTAGTTCTCCTATGGCCCCAGAAGGAGGACTGATAAGATTAAAGAGATGTGACAGAAGCTGTGTGCGTGATGGTCAGTAGAGTGACCCAACGTCTCATCTCTGTCATCCTCTGGCTGGGCTCTGTGCCCTCTCCTAGGACAGCATGCCAGTTTGGCAAGCAATCAAAGGAAAGGGAACCTAGTAAGGCTGTGCTTCAGAACCAGTAAGAGGTGAGCCTCTTTTTGGCAGATTAGGAAGAAGACTGAAGTACAAGGTTTATTTTCCAAACACCACACATAACATTTACACACATGTGTATGTACACAAACACACCTGTCCTCTTTATATCTAGCCACTCTCAGCCCAAAACAGTAAAGCAAATGCATTCCAATGGTGACACAGTACTACCATGCCTGGATTAGCTATGCCTCCTTTAGCGGTATGATGAGAACACTTAATACCAACAGACTTAATAGCCAAATCACATTTTCCATGGCTTGAGGGACGTTGACACTTGTCACTGTAAATCAGGACAATCCTTCCAGAAACAAGTATTATTCTGATCCTCCTGCCTCCACCTCCCTGGTGCTGGTGACAGGGTGTGGCATACATCTGGTTTATGAGGTGTGAGGGGCGGGACCTAGGACCTAGTACAAGCTAGAGGATGAACCACATCCTCAGCTTAGTTCTTAACTCCTTTGCAAATTGAAACTGCCTTTCCAGCCAGGCAGCAGTTATGGTCTCTTCTCTCCTACTGACCCAAAGTTCCTCTTCCTTCTCTTGGTACAGCCAGCACCAACCAAGGAAGCAGAAGAGACCACAGGAAACGGAGCCACCACAGCCCTGCATCTGAGTGCTAGCAAGAGCTTGGTCACAGGGGCCTGTGTCACAACACCTCCAACAGAGACAGAACTCCTGTGGCTTCAAGACTGAAATGGCGAGGAGGCGCAGGAACTGAACACAGAGGAGGCCTGAGGTGAATGCTCATTCCCATGGAGCTACTGGGGTGGCAAAGCACTTAAGAGCACAGGCTGCTGTTCCAGGGGACCTGTGTTCAATCCCCAGCACCCATATGGTGGCTCACAGCCATCTGTAACTCCACAGGCACCAGGCACGAATGTAGTGCACACATGTACATATAGACAGAACACCATACATGTAAAACTAAAACCTAATTTTTGAAACACGCTCATTCCTCAAATCCCAATGCAGTGTTCTTTATGCTGCTGCACTCCTGACTTGTGGGTACAGTCACAAGCAGCTCTTATGGGGAAAGTGTCTCCTCCTGCAGGATGCAGCAAGCCTCTGTTCTTTTCCAGCCTGACCGACTTGTAAAATATGACGTCTCAAAGTTTTCTTTTCCATTGTTGAGGTAGAACAGAAAGCAATTAGGAAAATTACAGGAGGCAGCAGAGTCTGACGTCAGCCGAAGAGGAAGACAGCCATTATGAAAGAGGAGAACCCAGCGAGATGTGGCTTTGGAAGACACATGCGATCCAGGGTTTTTGTCAGCCAGCAGGTAAAAGGGTGTTAGAAACCTCAGTGCCTCCGCTGTTGCAACTGGCACAACCACAGGGCCCAGACTCTGAGAGAATGTCTTCTGGGGCTTGCATGCTGTCTCACTGTAACACAGAAAACCACACACCCAGGAGACCATGGTGCTGTGTCAAGGACCCTGGCTGTCAAAACCATAGTGCTAGGGCTGCGAGGTCACACTGAAATGTCAGCAAATTCC